TAAGTCAATTTGATGCGCTAAAGATGTGATAATGTATAGGAAAGTACTATTTGGTTGATAGCGGATGCAATAATAAGAAAGGTTGTTTGGTATTGTTCAAGGAGTATTGGTATCACCAAAATGCACATAAGAAACGAACACCGAGGGACAAATTCTAACGGTTTAACAAGGCACATTGTTTATTTCATAGTTACATCAAACGAGCATTCGAGGCATGGAAGTCAAGGTAGGTATATTGCGGAAGATGCCCAAGTTTGACTATCGCACTGTACAAGTGCCTCTTGTTGCTACGTCAATGGTGTTACATAACTTCATACAGCGAAATAGTGTGATCGATGAGGTAATGCAGAATATCGTAAACGTTGAGGAGTATAAAGCATCGATACTTCCTGACCACCTTAAAATGAGAACGGTTAGAGATATGTTGATGCCAGGCGATGAAGGCATTGAAATGGTCGTTATGAGGGCAAATATTGCATACACATTGGTAGCCCAAGCACAAGTGCGAGGGGACTAGCATTGTCGATGGGAAAAATGTTCGTAGATCTCTGTTGTTGTTTGGGATGATCCCATTTAATGGCCTTGTTTGGTTTTTTAATTTAATTTCTTTCATATGTCTATGCACATACGTCGGGATGTTGTTTGTCAAGAAATGATCCGACGTTTAATTTGTGCAATTTGTAAAAGTTGTGCTTTCTACGTAAAATGTCGAGGTATGTATTGTAAAATAGTTAACCAGTTTGGGATGACAATTTCAATGTATGGTTAATTGGTTGGTGTCTATGGAACTGTCATGGAATGCATTCATGTGAAGGCAATGGAAAAATTAGAAAATTGGAATCAAATTCACAAAACAAAAACAAAAAAAATGCGTACAGATTCCATTTTAGAGAACCTTGACATGTACAAATATGTACCTATAGACACCCCATTTTGACCGAACATTAAGACTTAGGTGCTTGAAATGCTTCCTCATGATGAAAGGTTTCATAATTTCAACCTTATAGAAGCTTGAAATTGTTAGAGTTGATGTATTGCCATTTTCGTGCCAAAAATTACCATTTTAGGCTCATCTTGAGGGCCTATTTTCACCTAGAAAAGGTTGGAATTTGATAATTTATATTTCACACAAAATTCTATTCCTTTGAATTATCTTTCCAAAGCCACTTAATTCACTTCAATCCGATCTCAGATGAGAGAGATATACCCAAAATACGAAAGTCTAGCAGAAACATACGGCCACACATAGGTGGTACATAACTTGTGCAGCCGCACATCCTACTAATGCCAAATTTTGTTTTTTAAATGCTATTTCTTCAGAAGGCACAACGAGAATATGATGGGGCAGCCCTAGGACGACCTAAGGTGTTCTCTAAGTACTTTCTCATAAGTCTATAAATACAACCCCTCCCTCTTTTTGAAAGGATCCAAGTTTTGGCCAACTTTAAATGAGTTTGGAGAGAGAATAGCCCCCTCCCTTCCACCCAAACCCTAAACTCCGAAAATAACAAACCCTACAGCAGCTTTAGCAACTAAAAGAGATCCAAGGTTTGAAGAAAAGCATCCATAGTCCTGCCAAAATTTAAGGGAAACATTCAAGCACGTTTTGCTTGCTTTTCGGTTGTGTTCTTCAATTTGTTTCAAATCAACAAGTTTATTTTTCTCTTTAATTTCAGTACCTTTTAATTCATGTTTTCATTATTAGATCATGGTTAGGGTACTGGTTCATCATAATCATCATGTAGGATAGTTATTTTGCATGAGTTTTTTGGTTTGTTTTGCATGTGTTAATTGAATGTATATTACTAGCATTGTTAGGGTTAGTTTAATCATCATGTAAACATGCATATAGCCCGATTTAATCATCATATAATATTTTGCATATTTATTTTTATGTGTTAGTTGTTTTTTGTGCATTAAATCATGTCAGTATCCTTAAACTGGGATGAGGTTTGCATTGTGTGTGTTTGGTAGCATGTTTAGGATCATTGCATCATATTTGATTCATATTTGCATGTTAGATGCTTTGCGGTGGAATCCGAGTAAATCTTTTTTTTTTTCATAGTATATTGTTTGTACTTGATGCATTATTTTTCAATAAATCAAATTTATGTGCTTTTTATGATCCATTGGTTGTTTTGGATGCTTTTTCATGAAATATTGCTTAGTTTGGGTTGTGTTTATGGCCATATGATTTAAAAGCTTTCTTTTTGCTAGAAAATCATGAGTTTATGGAAAAGATATGGCTATAATCATTTTATCCAAATTAAGTGGCATTTATTTTATTCAAAATATCTAGTTGATTAGGTTTAGCAAATGATTAGGGTTAATAATGAATTTTGTGAAATAATTAATTATTTACTCTCATAAAATAATAGATGAGTAGAGGCCAATAATGTGATTGGGCGAGAGGGGGTGTATCAATTAATGACCTTCCTCTCTTGTACCTAAGTTCCCGAACTGAGATGTTTGGTTATGACGAATCAGTACCTGTACTTAGTTTTTATTGTTAAAAGTTTCTTAATTTCCCTTAAAAATTAAGTGGCAACTCTCGAATGCAAGTTGGTACAACATTTGGTAGAAATGTGCCTTATTCTCAAAAAGGCACGACATCCATAGTACCCATGTTAAAAAAGAAAAAAAAAATGACCATGCCAAAGTAGTGCAACATGAGACATCTGACAAGTAATAAAATAAATTGGTTCATAAAAAATCAAATTTTCATTAAAAAAAATGCTAGGTACTTCAAGGTACCAAATTCTGTACCAAACACTCATATGGGTGTGGGATCCACAATCATGTCTACCTCACACCCATTACAGTGTTTGGTAAAAAAATGTAATAGTTTTTCAGGGGTCCGTAGCATTGCTCTTTCCATAATGGTTGTTGTCAAAGTTATGCAATGTGCAAAAATGATTTTTATATTTATGCAAGTAATGGAATCACCTTTTCATTTTTATTTTTTCAAGCAATATTGTAACAAGTTTTAAAAAAAAAATTATATATTACAAAGTCACGTTTGGGATGACGCTCATTGATGATACAATATGAAAGAAAAAATATTTGACAAGTTGTTCAAAATTATTAGGAAAAAAAATCATCAATTTCACCTTTGCATTGATATGCGCCTTTGCAAAGATTCTTCTCTTAATTTACAATCATGAAAGAGAGAGTCTTCTATCCAGTCCACTGTGTGGACTAGAGCATGTTATTAGGCTTGTGGAGCTTACTACGAGTCCTATTTTGATAATTTGAACCGTCAATGCGTAGAGCTCGTTGAGTACTTCATGCTTACAAAAAATCACGTTGATCGGATATCAATAACCCCTTGATCAAAACACGTTTTTGTTAACAATTTATATTTAAAATAATATTTATCATTGACAAAAATGTGTTGTGATCAAGGGGCTACCGATATCCGATCAACATGATTTTTTGTAGGTATGAAGTGCTCTACGAGCCCTATACATTAAACGATTCAAATTATTGAAATGTGATCTGTAGTGGGCCTCACGAGCCGAACAATACGCTCTAGTCTACTATGTAAACTGAAGAGAAGCCTCTCCCAAAGCCTGGCTCATGAGACATGGCACAAGTAAGCCATGGTAGAATTTCTGGAAAAAAAAAATTTAAAAAAAAATTGTGAAATGCACAGTAGCACTTAGATGCCGAGGCAGCTTTGTCTGCACAAAGCAGGAGGGGTAGAAAGGTAATTTTGCAGGCAACACAAATTTTTGTAGCACATTGTTTTGTAAAAAGTTAAAAAGTTATCCCAAACATACATATTTTTTTCCTCATTTTTTTAGTAAAAAAGTGAAAAAGTATACTAATCTAGTACATGCCAAACAAGTGCTAAGGCCTATTTTGGGAACTCGGCTAAAAGTCAACTTTTTGGCTTTTTAACTTTTTTAGATCACATCACCCACTACTAAACTGGACTTTTTGTGACGGTGTCAAACGTCGTAAAAGGTCCATATATCGTCGCAAAAAACTTTTTGCAACGGAGCAGCAACGGAAAATGGGGGGTGGCGGAAAGGGGCGTGACAAAAAGTATTTGCAACGGTTACAAACTGTCGCTTTCTTGTAGCGGCAGCTAATCAATAGTTTTTGTGGCGGTTTTGCCTGACAAAAAAAGGGGAAAAAACGACATTTTTAGTGACAATGTTGATTGCCGTCGCAAAAAACCTTTTTTAGCGACGGTATTTGCCGTCGCAAAAAGTATTATTAGCGACGGTCTACAACGTCGCCAAAAAAGTAGTATTAAGTCAATACCTGTTGGCTTTTTGGCTTTTCGAAGGGTATTTTTGTAAATGTGAGCGTGCCAGCAAGGATCAATCAGTCCTTACAGAAATTGTGATTGCCAACCAATTATCAGATGATTGTGTTTTAGTTCTTTTCAGTCTCAATGAAGAGGACTTTTACTGGTGGCCTGACTTAAGAGAAATTAAGAGAAATAACAGTAATATGAAGAACAATTGAAGTATTTCATAAAAATGAACACTTACAATGGTCAACATTCTCCTCTATATGCATCACATCGAGGTTATGTCTTATTAGATTGTGCTCCCAACATCCACATTCAAAAAATCATATATACCAAGAATAATATATGTACCTTGTAACAATTGTCAATCAAATATTATTTACAAAAATATATAAAATAACTTCTAACAATACTAATAATTTTTGAAATTCAAGAACTCAAATTTTTAGTATCGACAATAGAAATAAAAAAATAAAAACAAATATATTGTAACTTGTTTTGATATCAATAGTAAGTTCCCATATCGATATGCGAAGATATCACGTACTCAAAAGGTTTACATCAGCAAAAAGAAACAAAAAAGAAAAAAAATCATCATTTACAGCATAATTATTTTCAAGCTTACAGAAAATGTAAAAAAAATTGATATTTTTTTCAATAAATAAATAAATAAATAAGATTGTAAACTCTAATATCGATATGCGAAGATATCATCACGTACTCAAAAGGGTTACACCTGCAAAAACAAAAACAAAAAAAACAAAAAAAAAAATCATTTACAATATAATTAATTTCAAGCTTACAAAAAATGTAAAACATTTGATATTTATTTCAATAAATAAATAAATAAGATTGTAACATATACATGAATCAAGCGCCAGACAATGTATCTTCCCACCGCTTCTCCAACTATTCGTAGACATCGAGATGTTGTTTCCAAAACAACGTTCGGCTTGTTCGCTTTTAAAACAAAAACTTTGCAATATTCAGGGCCAATTGGAACTCCATCAATTTCACACAACGGATCAACACTAATAAGAAGTCCCTCCGCCAATTGGACTCTTGGTATTACAAAACTCTCCAAAGAAACTTTAATTACATCCTACAATGATGATAATACTATTAAAAACAGGCAATGATTGTACACATTAAGCTATAATCTAACAATAATCGAATAGACACAAAAAAGTTTGTAAAGAAGAAGTTTTCATTGAGTTCTGTTTTTTCCTACAACTCATGTGTGCCAAGCATGTTGTGCGTGTCAAGTTTCGTTGACATCCGAACCCGTTTGAACATTTTAGTGTGTCAACCGGTTTGAAAAAGAGTTATTAAGTAACAATTTTTCATAAACGGAAATTAGGCTCTAGATTGAAAACGGGGAATCAGTTTCGAGTTCCGTCTTATCCTACAAGTCATGTGTGCCTAGTATGTTGTGCGTGTCAAATTCATTGACATCTGAACTCGTTTGAGCATTTTAGTGTGTCAATCGGTTTGAAAAAGAGTTATTAAGTAACAAGTTTTCATAAACGGAAATTAGGCTCTAGATACAAAATCGGGAATCGGTTTTGAGTGCTGTCTTCTCCTACAAGTCATGTGTGCCTAGTATGTTGTGTGTGTCAAGTTTCGTTGACATCTGAACCCGCTTGAGCATTTTAGTGTGTCAACCGTTTCGAAATAAACAAATTAAGTAATAAGTTTTGATAAACGGAAATTATGCTCTAGATTGAAAACCGAGAATTGGTTTCAAGTCTCCTCTTCTCCTATAAGTCATGTGTGCCTAGTATGTTGTGCGTGTCCAGCTTCGTTGACATCCGAACCCGTTTGAGCATTTTAGTGTGTCAACCAGTTTGAAAATAAGTTATTAAGTAACAAGTTGTCATAAATGGAAATTAGGCTCTAGATTCAAAATCGGGATTCAGTTTCGAGTTCCATCTTATCCTACAAGTCATGTGTGCCTAGTCAATTGTGCGTGTCAAGTTTCGTTGACATCCGAACCCGTTTGAGCATTTTACCACGTCATCCAGTTTGAAAAAGAGTTATTAACTAATAAGTTTTTATAAACTGAAATTAGGTTCTAGATTCAAAATCAGGATTCGGTTTTGAGTTCCGTCTTTTCCTACAAGTCATGTGTGCCTAGTAAGTTGTGTGTGTCAAGTTTCGTTGACATCCAAACCCGTTTGAGCATTTTAGTGTGTCAACCGATTTGAAAAAGAGTTATTAAGTAACAAGTTTTCATAAACGAAAATTAGACTCTAGATTCAAAACCGGGAGTTGGTTTCGAGTTCCGTCTTCTCCTACAAGTCATGTGTGCCTAGTATGTTGTGTGTGTCATGTTTCGTTGACATCTGAACCCGTTTGAGCATTTTTGTGTGTCAACTAGTTTGAAAAAGAGTTATTAAGTAACAAATTTTCATAAACAGAAATTAGGCTCTAAATTCAAAATGGGGAATCGGTTTCGAGCCTCGTCTTATCCTACAAGTCATGTGTGTCTAGTATGTTATGCGTGTCAAGTTTTGTTGACATCCGAACCCGTTTGAGCATTTTAGTGTGTCAACCGATTTGAAAAAGATTTATTAAGTAACAAGTTTTCATAAATGGAAATTAGGCTCTAGATTGAAAACCGGGAATCGGTTTCGAGTTCCGTCTTATCCTACAAGTCATGTGTTCCTAGTATATTATGTGTGTCAAATTTCGTTGACACCCAAACCCGTTTGAGCATTTTAGCGCGTCATCCGGTTTGAAAAAGAGTTATTAACTAATAAGTTTTCATAAACTGAAATTAGGCTGTAGATTCAAAACTGGGATTCAGTTTCGAGTTCCATCTTCTCCTACAAGTCATGTGTGCCTAGTAAGTTATGCCTGTCAAGTTTCATTGACATCCAAACCCATTTGAGCATTTTAGTGTGTCAACTGGTTTGAAAAAGAATTATTAAGTAACAAGTTTTCATAAATGGAAATTAAGCTGTAGATTCAAAACCGGGAATTGATTTCAAGTTCCATCTTATCCTACAAGTCATGTGTGCCTAGTATGTTGTGCGTGTCATGTTTCGTTGACATCCGAACCCCTTTGAGCATTTTAGTGTGTCAACCGGTTTGGAAAAGAGTTATTATGTAACAAGTTTTCATAAACAGAAATTAGACTCTAGATTCAAAACCGTGATTTGGTTTCGAGTTCCGTCTTCTCCTACAAGTCATGTGTGCCTAGTATGTTGTGCGTGTCAAGTTTCATTGACATCTGAACCCGTTTGAGCATTTGAGTGTGTCAACCGGTTTGAAAAAGAGTTATTAAGTAACAAGTTTTCATAAATGGAAATTAGACTCTTGATTCAAAATCGGGATTCGGTTTCGAGTTCTGTCTTCTCCTACAAGTCATGTGTGCCTAGTATGTTGTGCTTGTCAAGTTTCATTGACATCCAAACCCGTTTGAGCATTTTAGTGTGTCAACCGGTTTGAAAAAGAGTTATTAAGTAACAAGTTTTCATAAACGGAAAGTAGGCTCTAGATTCAAAACCGGGAATCGATTTTGAGTTCCGTCTTCTCCTACAAGTCATGTGTGCCTAATATGTTGTGCGTGTCTAGTTTCGTTGACATCTAAACTCGTTTGAGCATTTTAGTGTGTCAACCGTTTCGAAATAAACAAATTAAGTAATAAGTTTTCATAAACGGAAATCAGACTCTAGATTTAAAACCGGGAATCAGTTTTGAGTTTCGTTTTCTCCTACAAGTCATGTGTTCCTATTTCGTCGTGTGTCAAGTTTCGTTGACATCCAAACCTGTTTTAGCATTTTAGTGTGTCAACTAGTTTGGAGAAAAAGTTACAAAACGACAAATTTTCACAAGCGACAAGTTTTCAAATTGTTTGAAAGTTTACCTCATCATTTGGTGGTGGTGTATGTGGGTTCTCATCGGTGTCATAATCTGTAGGTTCACGGTGGCCACTCAATGCATCTGGCCACTCAATGACAAGTCTTCAGGCAACATGGACAATTGGTGCTCAAACTCATCATATAAATTAAAATAACAAGTACATATAATAATTAGGTAGTTCAAACAAAATCAAATATAAATAAAAAATTAAGGATTTGAAAATACCATGGTTTGCCTAACATCAGGGTCAGTTTGATTGTGTGTATATTTCCAAACACTCATTTTATCCGTGGGCAACCCTTTAGCAATCATCTGAAAATTCAAAAATTAATTATTATCGCAGTAATTTACATTCATATTGATATCTACCTAAATAATATATACCTTCCTTCGAATCTGAGTCAATGAAGTACGTCTTGTCGTATAATTAATATAATGAAATGAACGACTTCCAACATTATGGACTACAATGTCCTACAAAGTTTGCATAAATGTAAGTCGCAAGTATACAAAGTTAATAATTTTTCTAAAAATACGTGCTTTGTAATTAACTTATTTTATATACATGTACTTTCTTAGTCTTCCAATAATCAACAAGATCATACCACTGTTCTGGAACAATTTGCGAAAGCACCATGTCGTTAATATTAGTATGATCCTTGTTAGGCTTAAAATACTTATTCTTGATCTTGCTTTTGTGATCCTTCCACTAGTCATTACACTTTTTCAAGCAACGTGGTGTGTACCCCTCCGGACAAATTTTTAAATTATCCTACAGTACAATTTAAATCATTAGTTCAATTAATAATATAATTAAACAATTTAGTAAATATGCTTTTACTTTAACATCCGCTCATATTGACTTAAGAACATCAATAGGCACTTCGGTCCAATCAACGTACGTAAGAGAAACAATGTTCCCGTTACGTACCATGAATCCAAGTTGGCTAGTTAACTTAGACTCATTATCTCCCGTGGGATTAAAGTCGGCATCAAAATCAATGGCCAACTTCTTGCCCGTGCTCCAATCTTTAATGCCTTTCGCAAATCCTCGACCTCGGGGGGAAGATAAAGAAACTATAGGGCATGTGAGGAGTAATGAGAAAAAAAACACATATTACAAAAATTGATAATAAATAACTTGAAGTTAAATTAATGTAATTAGATACATAGCCATTTGTTATACCTGAGTTGGCTTGTGAATCAATCACTGGATTTGGAACACATTATAAAAATAAACAAATTATATAAGAATATAATAAACAGCATATAAATTAAAGCATAAATTAAATACATGAAAGCAAACCAGTACCTGAGGTGGGATATGAAGAAGTCGTCGGTCCTAGCATATGAAATTAGAAACATCATTTCTGGCACTATAGGTATTGAGGAAGATTGGAGTTGGCTATGGAAACTGAGATTACCCCAGAAAATTTAAATTTTTTTGTGGACTGCCCACCTTGGTAAACTCTTAACTAATCAGTTGAGGGAAAAAAGAGGTCTAACCTCTGATCCTTTATGCCTCAGTTGTAGGGAGGTGGAAGATTTGAACCATCTTTTCAGGAATTGCTATAAAGCCAAAGTTGTTTGGTTAGCTATCTTTGGGAGGGAATGGTATCTGCAAATGTTTGATAAACCTTGGCAGGACTGGCTTACTTCTAATGCCAAAAACAAAAAACATTTCAATAAGCATCTCACTTGGTCTACTGTTTTTGTTGTGTGCCTTTGGAAAATTTGGAAAAACAGGAACTCCCAAATTTTTGAAAACACTGTGATTTGTACATAGGAGAGTGTGAAGCTTATTTTAGATTTTGCTAATGAAATTAACCAGGCATTTACCCTAGCCATTGTTAACCCCAAGCTTGCCTTCACACTAATCAAGTGGACTTTATCTCCTGCAGGTCAAATTAAGCTCAATACAGATGGTTGCAGGAAACTTGGAGGTGCAGGAGGATTTGGGAGCCTATTCAGAGATGAAGCGGGAGCTTGGGTGTGTGGATATTATGGCAGACTCCAGGATGGGACAAGTCTTGAAAATGAGCTATGGGCAATATACAAAGGCTTAATAGTTCTGCTACAAAAGAGTATGAATAAAGTGATTATTGAAACTGATGCCATGCAAGCTGTGACACTCTTAATAGAGGAAATAGAGATCAACTCTCCATACAAAGGCTTAATAGAAGATGCTAAGATCATTATGCGTGAGTGTGAATGTACTGTGCAACATATCTACAAGGAAGGAAATTTGTATGCGAATGCACTACCAAAGCTTGGAGCGGAGCAACCAGAGGATATATTGGTGGTTAATGAACCACCATCAGAAGTTAGAAGTCTGCTAGTTGCAAACATCGTTAGTAGAGCTAGGGAGAGGGCTTAGCCCTGCTGTGTGTTTTTTAACTTTCCGATGTACGTAAAAAAATGCTCTCTAACAGTTGTTCCTTAAGTAGTATGGATCTAAACTTTTTTGTAGCTAGATTTTATAATAAATAAATAAAAATAAATGATTTATAGATATTAGAAGGGTTGGGATCTTCTGTCCCAAGTATAATAATAAATTACCACCCAAAAAAAAAAAGAAGGAAGGGAGAGATACAAAAATGTTTAAGACATGACACGCATAACAGTGAGTAACCAATAACAAATTCAATCAAGACAATATTGAGGCAATAAAATCATAATAAACAACCACATCCAGTCCAATCATAACCATTCATTTTAAACGAAATCAACACTTGAGAGAGAGAGAGAGAGAGAGAGAGAGAGAGAGAGAGAATTTTCTATCCAAATGCACTTTGGTTACTTCACTTTGATACATTTTCACTTTCAAAAACCAGAGAATGCAAATGTACCAAGGAAAACATAAAGAAAACAGTTGTATGAGCAAGTGCTCCACTTGGCACAGAAATACCTCAGCCAGGCAACTTGGTAATTTAATCAATATACCAACATAATTAAACATTCTAAAAGCAAGAATTCAAACATAAAGCTATACATGTTTAGTCAATTGTGTCTGAAAAATAAGCATTGACAAGCGTCCAACAGTGGACTGCAATATTTGGCAAGCAAATAATTGTGTCAATTGTCGGTCCCTTTATTTCTGTGTTGCCATACATAGGTTTGATTTGGGTTTTAATAGCATAGAAGAGAAAATAGAGGACGTGGAGAAGGTGGAGGTAAACACACACACACACACACACACACATATATATATCTTTGGGTTGGTTTCCTAGTTTAGTCTGATTTGGGTTTATATCAAAAGGGAAATGAAGAAAAGAGGGGAACGAAGAAGAGAAGAAAAACAATAAGAAGCGGCTAACACAAAGTAGAAGAGGAGATCACCGTGGCAGAGAGAAAAGAGAAAAGAAAAGGAGGTGTCGGTTATGCTTTGTGGCTGCTGGGAATAAAGGACTAGAAAGTAAATTCAACTGATGCCCACTACACAAAACAAACTCCTTTCATTCTTACCAACACCTAAGCTCATATTGATAGTTTTAATTGCAAATACAGTATTTAGTCTTCTAATATGGCACATCTCTACTGCCATGTGTCCAACACCAAACATTCAATTTAACTCCATTAACTCTCCGTAAGAAAACTCACAACACCATTATGCCATTAAATTACTAATGCTCATAAAATCACCATCATCCACTCACACAAACACAAGGACAATATACCACTCAGCAAAGCAAACTATTCTACAACTCCTAACATATTTTCAAGGGTTGACCCCCAACATGTCAAATAAGAAAATGTGATAAGAAGTATATAACTTCCCATATATGCATTTTTATGATGAATTGTAACCAATTATTTGATTGTGATTTTAATTTCTCTGTTGACAGTTCACAACACTACTATAAGTTTACAAGTGTTTCTGACTAACTTTATTAGAAATATGACCACTCTAGCAAGCTATTGGTATAATAATACCAAGTCACTATAGAATTTCATTATGATGACCTTTCCATGAAGTAAAAGGCATCTAGCTCCGACTTTCACCTGTCAGAATTGGCCAGCTTATTCTCCAAGTCTCTGCTTATAATTGAATTCATATAAAATACAGAGTGTTCAAAGAAATAGGGACAATGACAAAAGGGTAATTATGTGCAACTGCTAATCCTAGAACCTTCATTATCTAGACTGGTCCACATCTGACAAGCTCAAAGAAAAAACATGCATATATTCTAGTAGTAAATAAGATGGCTCTTCAGGTAACTAAAATCAATATTGTGATTTTTTTAAAAATGCAAAACTGTGGCAAATCCGTACTTAAAAAAGTTATATATTTTATATATATGCCACGTAATTGATAATTGGTGTTGTCTATTGTCAGTGTTGTGGTGTGAGTTTGAGTGTTTCATGTTAAAAAAGAAAAGAAAAAATAGAGATAAGCTAAACCATTGCCAAAAAATCTCAATTGCACAATATATATACATATACATATACGAGCCACATGTTTGAGTTGTGAGTTTCATCAAGAATCACACATATAATATGTATATTATTTTTATTTTCCATATGTGTTTTTTTCCTCTTTCTTTATTTTTATTTTTATTTTTTGTTTACGTATAACAAAATTAGGAATGAATGGCCGCTAAGCGGCAGGGGTAGATGAACTTGTAAGAAAGTGATATAGATAATAACTAACAAAATTATTTCAGAGGTTTGAAACCTTAACTTCTCATATGAGAATGTCCTACAAGAAATTGATTATGAAGTACTAAAAATTGTATCAACTTTCACCAAAAAAAAAAAAACTAGTAAGAAATAATCTTGTTGTCATGTACGACACCTTATCGGAGAGGAGGAACAAGGTGACCTCATGATTATGAGTTATTGAACAAGCAAACGGTTACGTGATATTTCAAAAAAATTAATAATTAATATGATTTTTGCTGTGTTGGTGACTTTTATGAGCATGTATGAACCAATTGTCAATCCTAATTAACAACTATGGCTCCATTGCCAGTCAATTCCAATTTGTTCTACTCAAGCTTCTTCAACATTAATAAAATGTGAATTTAATTACATAACTAAATCACCTTGGTCCTAGGTCTGTCATATTCCAAACAACTGCCTCACCCACTGATCAGTGCCAACAAATTGGAAAGTTTCATGTGCAACCCACATCATACCTAATTTCTTTTTAAAAAAATTAATTACTGTTATTTTTATTTATTTTTTATGTTGGAATTGTGAAATCTAATTAGTACTGTATACTTATCATGTGACCTTGCGGCGAATTGTACTAAAAACATTATTGATATAAAACCCTAGCATATAGATTGATCTCTTCCATCAATATAATGAAACTAGTATGAACCGTGAACGTAGGTAATCTAGTCAAATTACGAAAATTTGTATTTTGTATTTTGTGTTTTTTTATTTTTATTTTTAGAAACAAGAGCATTCATTCAAATCCAAAGCAGAATTACAATAATAACCCCATAAACACAACATTGCACAACCAAGCAATTATACCACCCTTACAGAACTTAAAAAGGCATAACAAACCACCAATTCATGCATAGTGCAATTGACAAAAACCCACAAAATTCACACAAAACCTAAGGTATAATTCCACCAACACCACCACCACCACCCACACCACCACCACGCCCACATAGACCTCCAAGCCCACCAAGCCCACTTGCACCACCAATCCAACCGACACCGCCAATTCCCTCAATCCCACCAATTGGAAGCACCTTATAGCGACCCCGGTCTTTTCCCATTTGATTATTGTATCCGGACTTGGGTTCCGTTTATTCTGTCATTGTATAATTGTTGTTGTCGTGACCCCGTAAACTGTCTTCTACAACGGTCCGATATGACCCCGTAAACTGTCCTTCTACATCGGTCCGACATGACCCCGTAAACTGTCTTCTACAACGGTCCGATATGACCCCGTAAACTGTCCTTCTACATCGGTCCGACATGACCCCGTAAACTGTCTTCTACATCGGTCTGACACGACCACACAGTGTCTGCTACAACGGTCCGACATGACCCCGTAAACTGTCTGCTACAACGGTCCGACACGACCATACCGTGTCTTCTACAACGGTCTGACACAACCATACAGTGTCTCCTATCCCATTTTTTAATTTTATTTGTCAGCTTATTTTTCTGTTTTGTTACTCTCTCCAAACTCAAGTTGGTTAGTACCTATCCTCCTTGAGTTTGAGGGGGGCTGTTAGTATATTATTCTATGTTAATGTATATCAGCTGTTAGTAGGGTATATTTCTTTTCCTTTTACTTTATTTTATTATTGCAACTTTCGGCTCCTCTCCTATATAGAGGAGTTCAACTGAACCTTTGTAACATCCATCAACAACATTCAATACATAAATCAATATACATAATCCATTCTCTCTGTATCTCTCTCTATCAATTTATCTTACAGCCACATGTGAAATGACCCAAATGCCCTTATAGTGAAAGTACCAAACTGCACAAATGGCTAACAACGTCAGCCTAGTCTTTGCTTTTAATATTTTTTTATTTTTTTTTTCAATTTGTTTATTTTTTTGTCTGGTAGGGCAATTTATGTTTCGTTTTTTTGAAAATTATGTGGAAAATGAATTCACAAACTTGGATAATTTTCTTCTTTTTTTTTCATAGTTTTTTATTATTTTGTTTCTTGGTTTTGGAAAAAGCGTTATTAAATTTTTTTTTTAAATTTCTTTTATTAATTAGCAGATTTGCAGTCAGAAAAAAACAAAACATGAACCTCAATTTACCACAAAAAAAAAAAAAAATTTGTCACAGAATGGTATCAAGATTAGCATTTGTAGTTCAAAAAAAAAAAGGAGGGGGGTATTTGGCTACATTTCCATGACAGAGCAGTGGGTTTCTCACATGCGGGAAAAAAAAATTGACATAAACAAAGCAAACACAAATCAAAAAAACAACCACAGATGCCCAAAAATAAATGGCAAAAAATGTTTAATCACCCGCAACAATGGCTTTGACAAATTAATCCAACAGATCGGGTTGAAGGCGATGGATTCAGCACAAACAAAATAGAAAAGCAACCAGTACCTAAAGATCGGTGGTGTTTCAGACGGCGAGTTCTTCTTTGGCGTTCTTCGCGCAATGTGTCATCCGGTTCCGATTGGCTTTGGCATTGTTCACGCGATATCTTCGCCGTTCAACATCCCTGATTCGCCCCTTCGCTTCAGCGTGTTGTTGGTGTGACCTAGAATAATTTCAGTGTTGCGTGTGTGGTGGGGTGGTGCTGTGGTGAAGCAGAGTGGGAGGGGGATAGTTTGGTAAATTCACCCTGGCCTGGGACAATGCATAGCACATGAATCTCCTTTGTCTGTTAGTGGGTAATTTAGCCTTTTTTGGACTGTAGTGGCTATTTTAGCCCAAATCTGCCTTCCCAAATCCTGTGGACAAATAATTAATTATTGATTGGCTATGCCTCCATTTGGGAAGGGAGATTTGGGCTAAAATAGCCACTACAGTCCAAAAAAGGCTAAATTAGCCACTAGCAGACAAGAGATTCACATGCTATGCATTGTCCTAGGCCAGGGTGAATTTACCAAACTACCCCGCTCTCACTCTGCTTCACATGAGCACCGCCTCACCACACACGCAACACTGAAATTATTCTAGGTCACACCAACAACACGCTAAAGCGAAGGGGCGAATCGGGGATGCCGAACGGCGAAGACATTGCGTAAACAATGCCAAAGCCGATCGGAATCGAAGGACACATCGCGCGAAGAACGCCAAAGAAGAACTCGCCGTCTGAAACACCACTGATCTTCAGGTACTGGTTGCTTTTCTGTTTTGTTTTTGCTTTGTTTGTGCGTAAATCCGTCACCTTCAACCTGATTTGGTGGGTTCATCTATCAAAGCCATTGTTGTGGGTGATTAAACATCTTCCGCCATTTTTTTTTGGGCATCTGTGGTTGTTTTTTTGATTTGTGTTTGCTTTGTTTATGTCAATTTTTTTTTTCAGCATGTAAGAAACCCACTGCTCTGTCATGGAACTGTAGCCAAATACTTCCTTTTTTTTTTTTTTTTTTGGAATTACAATTCAGTGTAAATTTAGAGGAAAAAAAATTACATATAAGTGATAAATTTTATAAATATTAATAATTAAAATCTTCATGTTATGTTTTGTTTTGTTTGTTTTTTTTTTTTTTTTTTTTTCTAACTACAGATCTGCTAATTAATAAAAGAAATTAAAAAAAAAATTAATGATGCCTTTCAAAAACCAAGAAACAAAATAATAAAAAACTACGAAAAAAAAAGACAAGAAAATTATCCAAGTTTGTGAATTCATTTTCCACGTAATTTTCAAAAAAACAAAACATAAATTGCCCTACCAGACAAAAAAATAAACAAATTGAAATATATATATATATATATTAAAAGCAAAGACCGTTTGTGTAGTTTGATACTTTCACTATAAGGGCATTTGGGTTTCAAAAAAGCCAAAAAGCCTATCCCAAACCAGGTTTTTTAGCCCCAGGCTAAAATAGCCAAAAAGCCAATCCACTTCCCA